GTTTTCTGAAATCCCCGAAAACTCTCGCTTCTTAAAAAATTTACTTTCGTTCATGGTTGTAAGACGACTCCATGGGGCGCTACACCTGTGTAGGTGTCTCACGGCGGTTCTGGGGAATTCGCTGATGACTTCTTCACCACTTACGTGTGTTCGCATTCCGGTACTTCAAGAGAATTAACGTTTTCCATCCCATTCAGTTATGGGCCACTGCATCGGCTACCTTTAGTTGCAAATTTGTGGCAGATTTTGTGCAAAATGCAAATTTTACCTTCCCCACTCAGCCACCCTGTTTTCATATCAGCAGTCTGTGTATCATGTGCTAGCGAACTTTGCCGATAGTTTCATTCGCTAGTTTTTTCCACAGATCTGCATTTCACTGCCTTTACACTTTTCAGTGCGAACAGTTCGTAACAGCGGCAGTGCCAGGAGGGGTTTTTTTCTGAGAGAAAAGGAGAGACAAATTTTTGGCACTTTTTTTCTAAGAGTGGTTGATTTCGGGTTTTTACTTCTGGTTAGTTTAAACGAATAATTTTGTCATTTATTCGTGGTCCACGGCTTTGCTGGAAGCCTCCCTGGTTTTCCCTCATCTTTAATTTGTTTTTATGTTTACCTTCATTATGTCATTTTCGTTCGCGCAACGCGAATAACGTTATGGTTGGCTTCAAACAGTTATTTTATAATTTCAAGTTTCGGAGCCTCTTATTTACAACACAGTTCTTTTGACCTCATTTTTATGTAGTGCATTTATATGAGTTGTAGATGCATAAACCCAAATTTTGTTCAGTATATTTCCATTCTTTCGTTTGAGGAAGACAGAATACTAAGAGAGCGTGCTGAGTCATTTTTCCTGAAAAGGAGTGTCGACGCCAAATAAGATTGGGAACCCCTGGCCTAGGTCACCACGAAAAGAAACCCCAAGTCAGCTCTCCCTCTCTTTCACGGCTCACGTCTGCTGTTCCGGTTCCGTCAGCAAAAAAAGAAAGTTCGGTATAATAATTACACGATAAAAATTTTAAAGTAGGAGTAATTAAAAAACTGAAAATTTATTACTTTCTTTTTTTTAGAATGAAGGAGGGTAGGCGAGCAGGCAGCTGCGTTGCCGCTCATTTGCAGGACTAGCATGCCAGCAGTGC